CACACACACACACGACTTCAGGGCCACATCTCAAACCTGAAATTATTACTTCCCTCTATTGAGAAAGAACCCTGGGTCAGGGGAGCCAGTTTGTAGCCTTCCTCGTTCTGTTGCTGGGACCCAGGGAAAGTCCTTTCTCTCTCCATATCTGTTTCACACAAGGGAGTTGAAGTCCTAGATTTCTGAAAACCCTTCTACTCCAAACATCTTGGGTCCTCGTGTTTGTGATAATCGTTGCTGTGGCTTCCTGAGGCAGGGCATGGGACAGGAGGAAGTTATAGCTGTATGTCTCCCACTAGGTTGGAATTATCACCCCCACTGGTCCTCAGCTCCTGGAGGGCAGGGTTTGAATTTAGTATTTGCTTGTATTCTGGCTCTTGGAACAAACTGGAATGTTCCAAGTGCTAAATAAGTTGTTTTTTTTCTTTTAACCCAGGGGTGCTCTACTACTGAGGCTCCAGCCCTTTTAATTTTTATTTGGAAATAGGTCTTGCTGAGTTGCTGAAGCTGGCCTCAAACTCATGATCCTCCTGCCTCAGCCTCCTGAGTGGCCGGGATTATAAGACGTGTATCATCATGCCCAGCAAGCAATTGTTAAATGAAGTTCTCTACCTTTCACCTGAGAAAAAGTGCTTCTTTCCACCCCCAGTCCCTTCTGAGAGACAGAAGAAAGAGTCATAAAAGTTTATTATATGAAAGAAAGAACATGGTTTCTGTACATCTATTTACAGAACAGACAGACTTATTTACAGCAAGATGGAGGCCTTGGTGCCAGTGGAGGCAGATACCCAGGGGAGAGGGAGGAGGCATGAGGGGCCTCCCATGGCTCAAAAACAGGGAACCTGGGCAAGAAGGGGGGCAGCAGAAGCTGGTAGGAGGAGCAAGGTCCCTGTCCTTCCTGAAGGGAGACTGGTAAGTAAGTGACTGGAAGGTGGAACCCAGAGTCCAGGCAGGACCCTGGAGTTGCAATGGAGATCCTGGAGTTGAACCCAGAACATTTTGGGTTGATCACAGTGTCCCTGGGGTGCTCTGGGGAAAGGTCTCTGCCCCCTTTGCTGCCCACAGCTGCAGAGGGGAAAGTTCCTGCGGGGGTCACAGCTCACTGGAGCGGACAGCAGGCTCCAGCTTGTGTGACAGGGCAGTGAGAACCTTGTCGAACTTCTCATAGCGCCGGGCTTGGCTGCTGCTGGCCCCTTGGCTGCCCCAGAGGAGGCGCATCTGGAACTCAGTGCTGAACACCTCCAGGAGCTCTGGCCGGGCCTGGAATCCTGCAGGGCAGGGGCACAGGTCAGGGACCACCATCTGGTTGGAAGGAGACTGGGGCTCCCATTCGGAGTCCCCACATTCTTCAGGGTCCCATTTGAGGCAACCTCTCCACAGCCCACCAGGGAGCCAACAAAGTCTGTTAATGAATGTAACCATGCATGGCAGTGTCGGGCCTTTCTCCTACTATTTTCTAGACAAGCAATATATATTTTTTTCATTACCAGAGATCAAGCCCAAGGCTTCATACATGCTAGGCAAATACTCTATCACTGAGCTGAATCCCCAGTCCTTAGAGGACGAAATATTAATGTTTAATTCTTTGGAAGTTTTTTGAGATCTTGCATGATCATTTTCTCTTTCTTTCCTTTTTTTTTTTCCATAAGTTCCATTTTTTTTAAGAAACATATATACGTTTTACAAGTAAATATAAAATACATATCTTTTTATTTCTTCTTGGGGGAAAAAAAAAGGCAAGAAAGTCAGAAAAACCTATCAGAATATTCACAGCGTTTACCCTGGGTAATTGTGGGTAAGTTTTTTGTTGAGAGCCACAGTTTAGTTGGAATGATGCCTGGCATTTTGCTAGAGGGAATGGTTGAAAGATGACCCTGCTCTGGGATTAGGGCAGCTCTGGGATTAGGGCAGATCCTGCTGCCTTGGGCACCTGCTACTTTGGAGTTCCCATTGAGTTCTCCCGGGGTTCCAGGAGAATTGGTGCGCAGAGTGGAGCCCGGTGGAGGGAGTGTGTTCCCAGAAAATGTGTGTAGAGTGCCCGGTGTGAGAGTTCAGGAATAGAGTTGCTGTTTGAACCTACAAGGCTTTTTGGCGGCTCGGTTATTTGTGCCCAGCCAGACTGCGGCAGTTTTTAAATCTTATTTTTGCTCAGCTGTAATTTCTAATTTATCTCCAGTGAATTTCTGCAACTTAATACCAAAGGCAGTAACAGACACTGCCACTTTCATGTGAGAATGTTACAAACTGAGCTCCCTGAAGTGTGGCAGCTGTCTCCACCCCAGGTACCAGGCTGGGCACCTCTTTCTTTCACATTTCAAAGACGAGAACACTGAGGCTCAGCCAAGCTAAGGACCACAGCCAAGGTGCACCCAGTGATTGCCTGTTGAACTACTGAGTGAAGAAGGTGATAAGATGAGGAGCTGGGGAGCTGGGGCAGAACAGAGGGACGAGCACCGAGTGGATGCTGGGAGGAGGGGAGCCCGGGCGTCGACCACACTCACCCTGCAGCTTGACCTCGGCATTGGTGTGGTAGAGCCCTCCGTGGTGTGCCACCGTGCGGGCGGCCTCCAGGTGGGCCAGCACCACCTCCACGCCATGCTCCGTGCTGCCCCAGGGCTCGGGACCCTCAGCAGGGGCCGAATCACACTCCAGCAGAGTGATGAGTGGCAGCACATGGGGAAACGTGGTGTTGCTCAGCGGAGGGCCTTCTGCAGGGGACAGAGAGAGCAGGCACTCAGGGACCCTGGAGGTCCCACATCCACTGATTCCCCAGAGCTGAGAGGTGGGAGGAGAGGGGTCTGCCTAAGGTCCCAGAGAGTTCCCGGGGATCCAGACTCCTGGGACAAACCCTTCCTTTTAGATTCCCCTGGGTGCACCCACAGCAGCGATGACGCAGTCCCAAGTGCTGAGCCTAGACCTGGACGTGGCTAATGAGGTTGCCAGGTGCAAAAAGTAAGCTCACCAAGCTCTCCTTATCATCCACACTGGGAGAGTCTATGGCAGCCCAGAGAGGACCGGAACCTGTCCAAGGTCACACAGCAAGGCAGGGAGGTACCTTTGCCCTCATTGAGGCTCTTGAGAAAAGGCTTGAGTTTCTTCTCATACAGGATGGCACCCTCTGTGTGTCGTTGCCGCAGGGTTACCCATGTCTGTTCCAGCCGGGAAATCTGGGGAGATCAGACTGTGAGAAGTTGCCCAAGGAAGTGGCCTGAGTGGATGCTGGCCACAGGCCACCCTGCTGAGTGGACACACAGATGTGGGATAACAAGAGCTATTCTGGCCACCATTGGTGGACCAAGGACAGTGTAGGCTGCCTTTCATGTCATGATGATGCCAACACAACCCATTTTACAGCTGAAGGAACTAAATCTCAGGTGGGAATGACTTGCCCAAGATTATTCTGAAAATAAGTGGCGGAGCTGAGATGTGAACCTGAGACTCTGCCTCCGAGCCCCTGTTGTTCCTATTTATTAGGCACAGGAGAGGCAGTGTGGCATAATGGTTGCACTAGAAATCAGTTCAAACCCTAAACCTTTGGACCTGTGTGACCACAGGCAAGTACTGCTCTCAGTTGCTCGTCTGTAACAAGAGGGGACAACAGAGGCATCCACCTCATGAGAGTCTTTTCAGGAATCAATGCTGGTAAATAGTGTGGCACTAGCCCAGGGCACAGGTGAGTGTCCGTTCAATGGTACTGTGTCATGTTTCTCTCTCTGGCAGTACTGGGGGTTGACCTCCGAGTGCTCCACCTCTCGGCTTCACTCCCAGCCTTTTCCAAATTTCATTTCATCTGGAGACAGGGTCTCAGAGAGTTGCTGAGGCTGGCTTTGAACTTGCAATCCTCCTGCCTCAGCCTCCCCATTGGCTGGGATTACAGGTCTGTGCCACCTCACTGGCCTTTGGGTTTTCTTTAAATGCATCAAATACTCCTCATTCATCCTACAAGTGGGGAACTGAGACCCAGGGAAGGGAAAAGAACGTGTCCTTGGCCAGCCCTTGGGGAACTGTGTTCTCCTGGTTACTCTTTCCCAGCCATGCCTAGGAACTCACAAAGCTCTTCCCATTTCCATCCCCGAGAAACCGCCCAGGGCGCTTCCAGTCTACAGGGTGCCCAGCTCTAGGCGGGCCCCTCAGTACCTGGGCCATGTCCAGGGCGCCCATGACCGCAGCGAAGCTGAACATGTTGCCCATAGTCCCCCTCAGCTCGGCCGCCAGCTGGATGGTCTTGTGCAGCAGCGCTGCTCGCTCCTCCGCCGAGCCGGTGCAGCCCAGGATGTCCACCGCCAGCATGATGGACATGGTGTGGAACCTGTCAGAGCGGCCGGGTCAGAGGGAGCGGGGCCAAGTCCGCGGGGAGGGGCCCTTGCCACTGTCCATCACCGGCGATGGCAGAGTCCGAGTGAGAAGTTATAACGGATCCCTGAGGTTAGAGGGCGCGGCCAGCTGAGGGGACCAAGGCGCAGTGCTTCTGATTGGTCAGCATGCTCCGGGGGCGGGACCAGGGCGCCTGGGGCGGGGCTTGAGGGAGCGGAGTGGGTTGCGCACGCGGTTTTAAGAATCCGCCGTGAGAGCGGGGCCAAGGCTGTGGACAAGGGGCTGCAGCCGGATAATCCGGAGATAGTGGGCGCAGTCTTTGGGGAGCCAGGATGGCTTTGAGCTGGATATCAAGAGTTGCGATTGGCCAAAGGGTGGGAGGCGTGGCCGGAACCCCGGGAAGCGGGCGGACAGGCTAAGGAGCCCCACGGCTTCAGCCAAGCCCGAGCAGGTAGCCCGAGCAGGTAGCCCGGGGGTCCCCCGCGAGTCCCGGGGCGCGGCGCCTGCCTTACCTTTCCAACAGGTCTAGTCGTAGCTGACGGCCATGGGGGAGGGTGAGCAATTCCATGCCCCAGCGGACTCCCATTAGGGTCTGCATCTCCTTGGTAACGCCCAGTATCCTAGCAACCTGCAAGGACGCCCAGAGGTCTGATTAATTTCCTGTCAGGGCTGGCCCAGGCCATCTGGGAGTCAGAGTTCCTTCTAAGAGGCCTAGCTAGGAGGCCGGTTTGAATCCCAGCTCCACCGCTGACCCTCTACAGGAGCACGGAATTCCATCTTCCTGAGCCTCGTTTCCCCATCTGCGAAATGGGGGGAAGGGGGCAATGTCCAGGGGTTCCCCGCGTGTTGAATATGCAGTTAAGTTTAAGAACCAGAGTGCCCTATTCCAGATGGCAAACCTGAGGCCCAGGGAGGGAATGGGCTTGCCCAAGGCCACACATTGGGCCTAGAACCTTCCTCTTTCCTGCCCAGCGCTCTCCATGGAGCAACATCTCTGCCTTGACTCTGTTCTCTTCTCCCCGGCTCGGAGACCAACGTGAACAACCCGCTCCCCCAGACGCAGAGCTAGGAACTGGGCACAAAGAGAACTGGAGTCCTTGGGTGGTCAAAGAAATACTAAAAAGCGAAGACCCAGGTGTTGGTGATTTATGGGAATGTTTTTCCTTATTTATCCACGAGGGAGCGCGGGGGCGGGAAGTCAGACGTTCCGTCCCTGGACACCGCGGAAGGGCTCCGGGTGCCTCACAGAGCCGGCCCCAGTGCATTTCAGCACTGCCTGGCTCAATGCCAAACCCACATCTGGAGGAAAACCGAATTGGAGAACCAGGCCCCGCACCACCCTGATTCCTGCCCCAAAGCCAAGGATAAAGCTGCTGTCCCCACTCCAGTCCACACCCAGCACCTACCAGGCAGTCAACCTTGGTGACATGTCGGGCCAGTGTCCGGGCATCCACCTCGGCCAGCAGCTCCTTGACCTTTCGCAGAAGGCCCACCTCCAGGGGCCGGTTATCTTTGGGGATCAGTAGTGATTGGAAGGTGGCTGGGTTGAAGGAAGAGGTGGCTTCTACAATGGGGGCTGTGAAGGACTTGCCCCGGTCCCCTTCGGGGACCCCGTTTTCTGACAGTTCCTTTAGTCTTTCTCCATAGCTCCTGGGCTGCCGGTTGGTGGCTTCTACTGCTGCCCACTCTCGGCTGCCCCGGATGGGAGGCTGGAGTTGGCAGTAGTGTCCGGAGTCTGGGTCACTGTAGCTGCTGAGTGATGGGGACGGGGAGGCCTTGGAGAGGGTGTGGGAGGGGCTAGCATGAGGACCCTTGTCCGACTCTCCGGGAGGCTTTGAGGCACTTCCGGAACACAGCTGGGGCTCGCTGGAGCGGCGGGCCACAGGGGAGGCAGGCAGTGCGGTGGCAGAGGGGGCTGCAGGGGCGGCATGGACGCGGGTTACTGCAGAGAGCAAGAGAGAGGACTAGTCACCACAGCTCCCCACCAAGCGGGGTTCCTCATCCCTGCTCCCTAAAGAACAGGCTCCATCCTCCACGTGGGAGGGACACCCCTCTTCCCCACCAGGATGGAGACCAGGCCCAGCAAACTCAGGCAAATGGTCAGGACCACAGGCGACCCCACGCCCCTACCCTGCAGCTGTCACGGCCTCGGAAAACCACAAAACTACTTGGAGGGGAAGCTCAGGCTCTCTGGAGTTGATTGTGCCAGTGGAGTTAGTTCTGGATGAATGAGCAGTAATAATTTACTAGGGACATGCTGTGTGCCCAGAACTGGCAAAATGCTGGAGATACACAGGTCAACAGCAGTGAAAGCATCACCAAACATCAGAAGTGAGGAGCTGGGGGCAGTGGCACATGCCTGTAATCCCAGCAGCTTGGGAGGCTGAGGCAGGAGGATCACTAGTTCAAAGCCAGCCTCAGCAACTTAGTGAGGCACTAAGCAACTCAGTGACCCTGTCTCTAAATAAAAATTTTTAAAGAGGAAATGCAGCTTAGTGGTCAAGCACTCCTCAGTTCAATTCCTTGTATTAAAAAAAAAAATCAGAGGTAAGATCTAGGGAAGTGGCTCAGGGTGCAGCACTTGCCTGATGTTCATGAAGCCCTGGGTTCTATCCCCAGAACCCCAGCAAAAATGAAATAAAAGAAAAACCGAAACCACATGTGATACATACTGAGAGCTCTTACTGCCTATGCAATCCTTCTTTGCACATTAATCTATTTTACCCTCTCAATGTTCCATGAAGTAAATATAAATACTTTTATGATCCTTACTCTGCAGATGAGAAAGCTAAGGCTCAGAGAGGTTAAGTGACCTGCTCAAGGTTACCCAGCCAGCAAGTGATAGGAGCTCAGATTTCAATCTCGACCTCTAGGCCACTTGACCGTGCCACCTTGCATAAATGATTTATGTCATCAAACATTTCTGGTAAGGAATTTGAACTTGGAGGTATTGCTTGGAAGGTAAGTTTGTGGTTCTGACAAAGTTGATGGCCCTGTATTTTAGGAAGGATTTATGGTGAGCCCCTGAGTTCAATCCCTAGCCCCTGGGGCGGGGGTTTGGAGGGGAAGTATTGAGAAAAGAAGCCACAGAAATATGTTAGGATCAAGAGTTCCACAGGAGGCTTGAGGGCAAATTCTTGCAAGACACTGCTCTCTGAGAAGAGCAGCAACACCAGAACACACGAGAAACAAAGACCAAGACAGACCCCCGCGCCCCCCACCGAAGCCGGCCATACCAGTGCTGTAGGCAGGGGAGCTGGGACTCTCTGAGATGGGGGACAAGGGCGAGTGCAGGTCTGGGATCTGGTCCATGCTGAGGGCACAGCTGCGGATAGAGTCCCGAGGAGCGGGCAGAGATGAGCTGTGGACAGACAGTTCCGTGAGCAGGAGCCCAGAGGGCAGGGCCTCGCTGGCTCCTGGGACCCCGTCTTTGCCCCCTGAACCTCACAGGAAAAACAAGTTTTGGGATTATGGAGTTCAGGCTCTCAATGGACAGGAACCAAAACTATAAAGCCAGGAGGAAGGGCTGCACTGGGCTGGGGTGGCACCGCAGGTCACAGGGTCCACCTACCTAGTCAGCACAGCACGGGCTCCCCTTCCCCGTGTCCCCCACACGAGTCTGCTGTCCTTTTCCATCCCTGCCCAGCACTCCCCTCTCTCAAATCCAAGACCAACTTAAGAGGACAAGATCTGGGGGACCCCAGCAAAGCTAAGGCTCCTCAGGCTCTCTGTGTCTTTCTTATCCCTAGAGGAAGAAGGGCAAGGGACAGCTAGGCCACACCCTGCTAACCCACAAGTACCTTTGAATAAATCAGACATTTTCCCAGCAGACAAACCCCTCACCTGCACCCTCACCATCATAAGCGGAAGGCAGTGTGGATTTTTTGTCCTCCACTGTTGTGGGTGGAACGGGGGTGTAGAAAACTTTGTGCAGTCCACAACCTGCACAAATGTCCTTTCCTGGGAACCTTACCCAGAGAACCTTGGAGAACTGTCTGAGGAGAAGGAGTAGCAGGAAGGGGCCTGAGGGGCCCAGGTCTGCCAACCTGGCTCTTCCTTACTACTCCCACGCTTTGCTCTGGATGCCTTGGGCACACATGGCCTGTGGATCCTGGCACCATTATGTTCACTGGTTCCAAACCACAGACCAGCTGCCTGTTCCCCGAAGGGTTGCCATCTATCCATTCCTAGGCTGGCAATGCCCAACCCAGGCCCAGGGAGATGGGCCAGGAGGGCCTAGCCCAGAGCACAAACCTCTTTGCAAAGATCCAGGAAAGCCACAGAAATTAGCAGACTTTGAAGTGAACAAATTTGAATCTGGGTTTGAATCTTGATCCTACCGCACCCCAGCAAGGGTCTGCCCTGCTCTAAGCCCATCTCCTCATCTATAAAGCAGGGGTTAGAAGACCCAGGGGAGACGAGGTTGACAGGACCACTTGGTCAGCCCTCAGCCCGGGTCAGGCACCGCAGGGCCTCAGGCACCATTAGCTGCTATGGCTTTTCCTGGGCTCCCGGGCCTGGTCTTACCCAGCCCAAGGGGCAACCAGGTGTCATTAAAATGTCACTGAGAATATTCTGGTTCCTGTGCAGGGATTTCCACACTGCAAAGCCAGGGGGCGCTATGAGTGTGGGCCCTTTACAGGTAGATGCACGGAGGTAAGAGAGGAAGGAGGGGCCCAGGACACCCGCCAACAAGCGGCAGAGCTGGAACTGGGATCTGGGTCTTTGTCCTGGAGACCCTCTGTTCCCTCCACCGCCCCCCACTGAGGCTCCAGGAGACATCTCGCCCAGCTCGGCATGGCTGGGCCTCCCCTTCCCCACCAAGCTCGCTACGTACACCCCCATTTGACAGCTGGCAGAATGAGGCCTGGTGCGGGGTCCTGGCTGACCTGTTGGAGCAGCCATCGCTGCGGGTGACCTTGTCGGCGGTGAGCCCGTCTGTCATGGTGACGCTGCGCCGCTTCATGTGGCTGCCCTTGGAGCCCGAGGGGCTGGCTGGGCTGGCAGCCTTGCCCGGGCCCAGGCCGTAGCTGGCCTCGAGGTAGCGCAGCGGGAAGGTGCGGTTGACCGGGCAGTAGATGATGGCCCCGCTCTGCTCGGACACGGCCTTGCGGCTGCCCACATGGTAGCGCACGAGGGCGGGCACGTGATCGAAGCTCTCCTGCTCGAAGAGGTACTGGATGTGCGTGTAGCTCTCGCCCGCCTTCACCACCACCTTGTTGATCTTGAAGTGCAGCGCCTGGTTGCGCCAGCGGCACGTGAGCACGTAGTCGCCCAGGCTGGTGAGCGAGTCCCGGATGAGGAAGTCACCGTTGCGCTGCACCAGGGTCTCGGAGACCTGCGGGGGGCACCGGTAGGCTGGAGTGTGGTGGGGATGGAAGAGGGCCAGACCCAGGGCCAGGGACACAGTGACTCAGGACTGGGGGGACACCAAGGCTGACCCAGACTACAGAGACATCTGAATCTGAAGCTTGGGACCAAGGACACAGCGACTCAGATGCAGACAGGCCTCCTCAGGCAAACGTGTGAGCCAAGCAGAGAAGCAGCGTGAGGGTGCTAAACCAGATGGAGTCAGGCCCTGTGTGCCTGGAGGATGAGGCTGAAGCCACTCTACCTAAGGGGAACCCTGAGAAGGGGCAGGCCTGGGACCCAGGTCTCAGGCCAAGGCAGCCCCAGCACCTCCAGACCCTGGGTCTCTGTGACTTCTATTGCACGGTGTGTCATGGCTGCCCACTCCCAAGCCTCTGTGCCCCAGATCCAGGGCCGCCACCTCTTTTCTCGCAAACACTGGTGCCCAGGACAGGGCCTAGCAGAGTTGGTTCTTGGCTAAGACTCATAATGTGAGTGAAAGAAGCAATAGGTGACGTGTCAGCCCCAATCTGTGACTTATAAAGTCACCTCAGCCTGGAAACTCCACTTGGTCAAAACCAAATAGCCCAGAGATGGATGCTCACTAACCAACACACAAGAGGCTGATACACAGGCCAATAGCAACGAAAGAAATAAAAATAAAGCCAAATTCATTGAGCTCACTGGTGTCAGACATTACTTAATTTTCACAGAGGCTCTTTAAGGTAGATACTATGATTGTCCTTCATTTTACACATGGGGACATCGAGGCTCAGAGAGGTGAA